AAATGTAGGAAGTGTCGACAAGATGCAGCATTAAAAGGGTGAATTTATTAATTAAACACCTTAAGGAGAAGGGTCAGTTGAATGTGCTGGGAGAAATAGGTTTTGGATCGTTGATCGGAGTAAGGGATCGACCTATTCGGAGGGAATTGTGTCGATCCTTGATGGCACAATTTGACGTCAGTCAATGTATGGCTAAGTATGGTGATTATTCATTCCCTCTGGGGGTATCGACTGCTGCAGCCGTATTGGGGGTACAAAACAAAGGCAAAAGTGTTATAGAAGTCTGTAGGAGTAAGAACTGGAAAGCACTTGCCTCCAAATATGGTTTGAATCATAAGGTGACATATACTGAAGTTGAAGAGGATATCAAAAGTGGATATTACTTGGGGGATGAGCTGAAGGCCCGAGTTCTATTGTACCTTGTCGGTATATTCTTTGTCCAACGGTGATACGTCAACGAACAAGGAATATATGAAGCTCATTTGCGATGAAGGCTTGAAGGGTGAATTCAATTGGGCTGAATATATCCATTCGAGATTGATTGAATCAATTATCTCAATGGTGTCCTTGCCTACATCCCAAGACTGCCGGCAGGTTTTAATTCTATTCTTTTGTATCCATTATTTTAACATATAAGCGTAGAACTTTAATCTCATTTTCTTCATGTTGTAGATGTTGTCCTCAGAAGAGGATTATTTGAATTTATGCAATTTTGTGTCGACAATTTTGTTGTTGCCCTTTGGTCTTCAAGATGAGGTTAGAACATGTTTGAGGCAATTGAATTACTGTAGTCAAAATCGTTAATATACATTTGAATGTTAACATTCAAACTTGATTACAATCTCAGGCATAACGTCGACCGTGTACTTGAGAAACTACCTGTATTTTCCGAGCATTTTCTATTCGTGGGTAAGATGAATGTCATTACAGTTTGCTGACTTTTCCTTGTCTATGATTCCTACATATTTATGTTCGACTGTTTGTGAACAGGATCAAAAAAAATGCAAAACATACGATTCTGTTACCTACTGTAAAGATCTCAATGATGTTTGGAACGCGTGTCCAGATTTTAACGAGCTAAATACACTTTTGGTCGATGATTCAGCGGAAAAAATGATTTATAATCCGGTAGGTTGCATTTATGCAATATGTTTCTGATCAGTTGAACAGGTGTTCAGACATTGATTATTTTAACAACTTATGTGTTTATATAGAAATACAATTACATATGTCCACATACCTTTGACGCTGCTTCCCATTCGAACGACAAAGCTCTAGGTATGACACAAATTTATTCATGCTTATGCGAATTTAATTTATTGTTAGTAAAATTGCACCTCATTAGTTTGATAATTGAAATTATTTATGTATGTCCTCAGAAAAAGGCGGAAACATACGAGAGTATTTGGAAAATTTGTTGAAGGCCTCTAATGTTCCGGACTTCGTTAGAAACAACCCTTTTTCATCGGATTAATTTTGTTTGTCGGTACATTATTTGAACATTCTTGTGTATTTAAATTTTGGTGTGATTATATTGTATGTATATTTTCATTAATTATTCCATATTTGCTTCTATGTGTACATATACATTTGAGTGTCTATACTTTTTTAATATATGTAAAGTATCTATCCTTTTTATAAAAGTGTCTATACTTTTTTCACTGTGGAAAACATTAATTTAAGGTTATCTTTTGAGTGAGTTTTAAGATATTAATTTAGTAATTATAGGCGTCTAATGATTAATTTTTTACGTTACGGTATATATTATTGTTAAATTAAAAATTCTTAATATTATTTTATAAAATATCAACACAATCAACTAATTTTTTGTGCAAATGAAATTATTAAATTAATATTGTAGGTGGAAAACATGAAACATACTTAAAAAATATTGAAACATAAATTACATATCTTTAAAAAAAGTATCGATCCTTTTTATAAAAAGTATGGACACTTTCAACATATAATAAAATAGATAATTTTGTAATATAACCGGTATAAATATACCGGTCTTATGCGCGAATAGGTCTACAACCTATATCGACACTTTTTAATATTGTGTCGGTACTTTATGTCCATATTGGAAGAAAAATGTGTCGATACAATTTAAAAAAGTATCGACATTTTACACATTGGAACCCATAATTATAATGTAATAGATAATTTTGTAATATAACCGGTATAAATATACCGGTCTTATGCGCGAATAGGTCTACAACCTATATCGACACTTTTTAATATTGTGTCGGTACTTTATGTCCATATTGGAAGAAAAATGTGTCGATACGATTTAAAAAAGTGTCGACATTTTATACATCGGAACCCATAATTATAATGTAATAGATAATTTTGTAATATAACCGGTATAAATATACCGGTTTTATGAGCGAATAGGTCTACAACCTATATCGACACTTTATAATATTGTGTCGGTACTTTATGTCCATACCATTTAAAAAAGTGTCGGTAATTTGAAGTAACGCGGTTTTTCTTCCTTCATTCAAAATATTTATATGTACATACAATAGGAGTGATGTTGATACTTACGATATATTATATGGAGATCGTTGTCATTCCATTCCGTCTTCGAAAAAATCAGTTGATGTAGGCTGTGTGCTTGTACTCAAACTAAGCTTGACTTGAGGACATGTTAGTTTGTTATGCCCCTCACCGTTGTGCAAGTTCAGTGCTCCAGGAGTTGATGGATATGTAAACGAAGGTTCATTTTGAACATGTTTCTGTAGTTAAAGGGTGGGTACAACATTAATTCGCAGTACATATTTAGGTATGTACAATAACTACAAGTATATTATCATTTAAATTCGCAGTACACTGTTAAAAAATTGAAACATAAATTACATAAGTTTTAAAAAAAGTATCGATCCTTTTTATAAAAAGTATGGACACTTTCAATAAATAGGTAAACATATGATGTAATAGGTAGCCCTTATATAATGTAATAGGTATCGTTTATATAATGTAATAGGTAGTGGTTATATTGTAAAGTGTCTATCCTTTTTATAAAAGTGTCCATACTTTTTTCACTGTGGAAAACATTAATTTAAGGTTATCTTTTGAGTGAGTTTTAAGATATTAATTTAGTAATTATAGGCGTCTAATGATTTATTTTTTACGTTACGGTATATATTATTATTAAATTAAAATTCTAAATAATATTTTATAAAATATAAAACAATCAAATAATTTTTTGTGCAAATGAAATTATTAAATCAATATTGTAGGTGGAAAACATGAAACACTGTTAAAAAATTGAAACATAAATTACATAAGTTTTAAAAAAAGTATCGATCCTTTTTATAAAAAGTATGGACACTTTCAATAAAATAGGTAAACATATGATGTAATAGGTAGCCCTTATATAATGTAATAGGTATCGTTTATATAATGTAATAGGTAGTGGTTATATTGTAAAGTGTCTATCCTTTTTATAAAAGTGTCCATACTTTTTTCACTGTGGAAAACATTAATTTAAGGTTATCTTTTGAGTGAGTTTTAAGATATTAATTTAGTAATTATAGGCGTCTAATGATTTATTTTTTACGTTACGGTATATATTATTATTAAATTAAAAATTCTAAATAATATTTTATAAAATATAAAAACAATCAAATAATTTTTTGTGCAAATGAAATTATTAAATCAATATTGTAGGTGGAAAACATGAAACACTGTTAAAAAAATTGAAACATAAATTACATAAGTTTTAAAAAAAGTATCGATCCTTTTTATAAAAAGTATGGACACTTTCAATATAATAGGTAAACATATGATGTAATAGGTAGCCCTTATATAATGTAATATGTATCGTTTATATAATGTAATAGGTATCTATCTCGCATGTGAGTACTTTATTCCAACCATGTGACAAGTGTGACAACTCCATCAACTCACAACTCAGCTTTGAACTCAATCAATATTGTCTTTTAGCTTGATGGTTCATAAAGCATGTTACTTGAACAGTATGAATCAATTATGCAATTTTCATGTTCAATTTAACACTGCATTTCAAATTCATTTCATATGTAATTGGAGTTTGAATTTAAATTTCAATTTGAGTTTGAATTTCAATATATATTTCGGCTCCACTATAAATATTAGCCCAAGCCAATATGCATGTTATCATTGATTATTCCTAATTTCCATTGTTTTTTTTCCAACGTATAAACGCGAGGGAAATCCCGACCATTTTATTTTTGGTCAACTTTAAAGCGTCAGAAACGTTTCGGGCGTATGATCTGGGTGGTATACAAGAAATGTAACAAATAGCAACTAAAATCATAAGTTGAGTACCACCCAAATCATAAGTCTGAAATACTTCCGATGCTCATCAAAATCCAAAGCTCATATGGTGCCAAGCAAAAGGAAATCAAAATCCAAATCTCATATGATGCCAAGCAATAGGTAGTGGTTATATTGTAAGTGTCTATCCTTTTTATAAAGTGTCCATACTTTTTTCACTGTGGAAAACATTAATTTAAGGTTATCTTTTGAGTGAGTTTTAAGATATTAATTTAGTAATTATAGGCGTCTAATGATTTATTTTTTACGTTACGGTATATATTATTATTAAATTAAAAATTCTAAATAATATTTTATAAAATATCAAAACAATCAAATAATTTTTTGTGCAAATGAAATTATTAAATCAATATTGTAGGTGGAAAACATGAAACACTGTTAAAGTATCGATCCTTTTTATAAAAAGTATGGACACTTTCAATATAATATAATGTAATAGGTAAATTTGCAATGCTATCGGTATAAATATACCGGTTTACTTATAAAATAGGTAAATATAAGCGCTACCTATTACATTATATAAGCGCTACCTAGTATGTTATTGTACTTTATAATATTTCCGGTTAAATAATATAACATAACCGGTCTAAATTTTAACCGGTCACTTGTTTAACCGGTCACGCCGTATATTAACCGTTTTTTAGACGCCGCACCGCAGAACGACCCATCGTAGTCCAAAAGTCACTGACACCATTAAAGCGGTGCCAGCCAATCTCCATCTATCTGTTGCTTCAGTGTCGGTTCTTGATTGGTTTGTAGTCTCTCTCTCTCTATCTTTCCAAAAACAATTTTCCTTTTCATCTTTCTCTCTTCTGCAAAGAGAACTGCTCTTGAAAATGGAGTTGGTTCCATATTCAAGTGAACCAAAACAAAAAACAAGCTCCACGACACTTCCATGGCAAGACATGTTCCGATCTGCATCTACAAGGAAGCCTTCCCCGGCACCAGGCCACGAGGACGCGCCCCCAAATCAATCCCACGCGCCACCCCAGGGGCAAAACCCCAGCGACCCAGATCACAGGAGCAGCTTCTCCGGTGATACCCAGGTACGGTTGGCTCTTTACATAGCCATGGCTCATGCCGGCCTCGCCTTCACCATATTCATTCTGTATGCGATTTGCAAGCTCTTGCAAGAGTATCTCAGGCCAATCCAGTGGGCAATCTTGTGTTCGATTCCATTGAGAGGCATACAAGAGACCCTTGTCAGATTTTGGAGCGAACCGTTGAGACTCGGACTCACTGAAACTGTTCTTGCTGTCCCTGTTGCAGTCTTCAAAGCTTTTATAGGTACACTCGTTGATATTAAGGATGTTTGTTTGAGGATGTTTCTTAAAAGACCAAAATCCAATCTTTCTAGGCGAACTAGAAGTGGATTCCCAATGTTAGTTAGGTGGTTAGTTGCTTTTGCCGTGTTTGTGATTGCCTATGAAAAAATTGGCGGCGTTGGTTCATTGGGGATAATTTTGTTTGGTTTTTTGATTAGTACTAAGAACATAGATTACACAATGTCTGCTGTTTCGTCGTTTAGGAGTAGCAGTTTCAGGAGAAGTGCAATTAGTGCTTATTTCACCCGTGGGATATTGAAAAGGTTGGATACCATCGTTGCTATCGGACTTATAATCAGTATGATCTCGGGGTTTATTGCCGGACCGATGTTTTTCTCGTATAAGATCGGTGTAGAGGGGAAAGATGCCGTGATTTCGGTGAAGGCTCATGTGGAAGAGAGTAACTATGCTGAGAGGATGGGTGTTAAGCAATGGATGGAAGAGAATGATGTCCCCGGAATGGTGGATAAGTACACTACACGGTTCTATCAAACTGTTTCTGAGCAGATGGATAGTTTGGCAATGCAGTATAATTTGACCGAGTTCGTCACCGGAATTAAGCATTTCGTTATAACTTCGACCGCTAGTCCATCGATGCAGTCGACGACCTTGATTGCCCCGTCTCCTTATACGGAGAAGCTTTTGAGTTTGAAGAAGAGGGTTAGAGATCGTGAATGGGGACTGATTTACACCGAAGTTGATGCGATTTTCAGGGAATTGATTATCACTCGGGAGGATTTGGTGGAGAAGGCTAAAGGGTTCGCGGTTAAAGGGGTCGATGTATCGCAACGGGTGTTAGCTAGCAGTGCGTCGGTTTTAGGCGGAGGCACGAAGATCATGTTCACCATCGGCAATTCCATCATCTATGGTGCTGCTGAGGTCTTCAACTTTGTGTCTCAGTTGATGGTGTTCTTTTGGGTACTATATTACCTTATCACATCAGAATCCGGTGGTGTAACAGAGCAAGTAATGTCTATGATTCCAATATCGAAATCAGCTAGAATCAGATGCGTCGAAGTTCTCGATGATGCAATTTCCGGTGTGCTTTTGGCGACAGCCGAGATTGCGTTTTTTCAAGGATGTCTCACATGGCTTCTATTTAGACTATGCAACATCCATTTCGTGTACATGTCGACAGTGCTGGCTTTCTTCAGCCCCTTGTTGCCTATCTTTCCGCCTTGGTTCGCAACGATCCCAGCAGCTGTAGAGCTACTGCTGGAAAGTCGCTACATACTAGCGATCGCCTTCTCCATCGTTCACATTCTACTTATGGATTACGGTGCCACCGATATTCAAGAGAGTATACCCGGCTACAGCGCATATCTTACTGGGCTTAGCATCATCGGAGGGATGACATTGTTCTCTTCTGCAGTCGAGGTAACTTTCTAACAATCCATTGCCTGTAAACAGCTTCTAATGCAAGTAATGTCTGAACCTTGAAATGGATGCCTCCTTCCTTCGACAGGGAGCGATTATGGGACCGTTGATCACGACGGTTGTGATCGCCTTGAAAGATCTGTACGCCGAATTCGTTCTTGGAGAATCGAAGAAAAAGGACTAGAAGAGGAAGAAGTGAAGAACGCCATCTCCTTCCACAGGTTTGCTTCCATTGTAAACAGAGCTTAATGATGTATATGACAATGACTTTTCCAATTTTTTTTATAATTATTTATAGTATTATGACAATGATTTATTCCAATTTTTTTTACTTTATCTAACCATAATATATATATTATATTCTTTCATATTAAAATATTATTTAATATATCAAATACAATCTAAAATTATAGAATATATTCATAATATTATATTTTAAAGAAAATATTTTGAGGATAAAATATTGACGAGAGTATAAATGAGTCAAGGAATTGATGAGAATAAATAATTTGCAAACAAGTGTAGTCAAAATATCAAATTAAGTAAAATGCAAAGTTAAGGGACTAAATAAAAGAGACTACATCTTTAGTAAAAAAAATAACAATTGAAGTTACATAGGTATTCTATTGTGGTATATGAGCACGTGGTTCAAATTTAGTGAAAAAATGACTTAAAATAAATCACAAATTAAAGGAATAATGAGATTATGAAAAATTGAAGGATTAAATTAAAAAATAAAAAATTTGTTATCAAAAAGAGGAATTAAAAGTACACATATATTCTACCATGATTTAGGAGTATATGGCTTAAATTTGGTAAAAAAATAGAATTAAAATAAATGACGAATTGAAGAAATAAGTAGATTATGAAAAATTGAAGGACAAACTAAATTGAAAAATAAAAGATTTATTATCAAAAAGAGGAATTGAAAGTACACATGTATTGTACTATAGTTTAGGAGCATGTAGTTTAAATTTGGTTAAAAATATACTTAAAATGAATGAGGAATTGAAGAAATAATTAAATTAGGGACAAAATAGTTGGTCATATTTTGGTTTTTTGAGTAACTTGAAAATTCAAAATTTCAACTCGATTTGAGTTCGAAAATCGTATTTATAATTCGAGTTGACTCGAATAACTCAATTCAAATAACTCGAAATTGAAAAAAAATCAATTTTTCAAGTCGAGTCGGGTTTTACTCACCCCTAGTCTACTTAATCAAATTCGAGTATTATATTCTTTCAGATGTCATCCTATATGATCTAATTTTAGGAAGATTCCATCTGATTCAAAATCTGACCTGTTTATATATATATAATTCGAAAATTCAAAATTTCAATTCGACTCAAACTCGAAAACTTAATTTATAATTCGAGTTGACTCGAATAACTCAACTTGAATAACTTGAATCGAAAAACTTGAAATTGAAAAAAAAATCGATTTTTCAAGTTAAGTCGAGTTTTGCTCACCCCTAGTCTACTTAATCAAATTCGAGTATTATATTCTTTCAGATGTCATCCTATCTTATCTAAGTTTTGGAAGATTCCATCTGATTCAAAATCTTACCTGTGTTTTAGGATATATATGATCCACTTACGCTATGTAAAACTAATAAATTATATACTAATTTATAACCATTAGATTTAAATAAATGACTTAGATTTAATTAAAATTTACAATTCGTAGATAAATATTTACAGTTAGAGTTTAGGATTTTAGGTTTTATATTTAGGATTTAAAATTTTAGGAATTTGGAGTTTTATGATTTGGGTTAGAGATTTAGGGTTTAGATAAAAAAATATATTATTTTACTGTGAGTTAAAGAAATATTTGTTTATGAGTTATAAATTTTAATCAAATCTCAGTCGTTTATTTATTTAAACCTAATGATTATAAATTAGAGTAAAACTTATTAGTTTTACATAGTGTATGTAACACCCTAAATTAGTACGACACACAGTCGACCAATTAGAATGTCACACAGAGCTACACAGAACCACCAGAGTGGCTAACCAAAAATTTTCTTTGATTTTTTAATTAAAATGGTTGCTTGAAAATACTCCTGATAAATAAAGCAACCACAATTATATAAAATAGTTTACATCAAGAGCTCCCAATTTAGACAAATTAAAATATACAGAACATTGTTTAAAATATGTTACAACTCGATTATACAAAAAGGGTCTACAAATATACATGCCCTCCAAAGGAATAACCTCGAGACGTACTCTGCACACAACTCGATCTGGATCTCGGTTGCTCAAAATGCTCCTCCCACTAACCTGCGTAAGGAAATAAATTCCAAATACTGATCTAACTAGCTCAGTGTCATACTAACAACTACGCCATACTAAAATTGTTCATTAAATGCTCATGCTAACTGGTAAAATGCAAGAATGAGTATACTCGTACATTGTACTTTCTACTCTATGGTAGACATAATGGTGTCAATTAGGGTTCTGTATCTTGGAGCTCACACAGCCCTTTAGTCTACCGAGGATGAGGCCCAGAATCTCTACATCGGATACAACACCGTTGACTAACCCACCACTAGTGAGTGTCAGGCCTCGACCCTAGTTACTGAGTTTAAAGTGCCTCGCGCACTACCGAAAGATATCAGGACTGATTCTATTGCTCGATACTAGTATCATTTACTAAAGTGACACAGGTGTCCTGATCGTTTCTCGAGTGTTCAAACAAGGCTAGTTTTATTTAGTCCTAACGATTGTTGTTTATATTATTCTAACATAACTTATGATATCACTTGGAGTCTTATTTACTGTTAAACATAGTAGATGTGGTACCTCGAAACTAATCCTTTAATCCTTGGATTATTTATCAAAAAATGTTCATGAGTGCTGATACTAACATTTTAGTATCGTTACTAAACCTTTGGTATCGATACCCACCTGCTGGTATTGATACCCCTAGACTGGTATAGGTTATTTAGGTAATGTTGTATCGATACTCTAGGCTGAGTATCAATACTCTAGTGCTGGGGTATCGATACTTGCCTAATATCGATACCAATTTTAGGTTCAATGTTTTGAAAAATACCCTAGTATCAATACCTCTATGGGGAATATCAATACTCTATGAACGAGTATCAATACCACCTCTTTAAAAATGTCTAGTTCTTGCCTGAAAGATGAACAATATCGATATTGTTCTTACAATATCGATATCATCGCTACAAAGTGCCCTATTTTAGCACGCAAATCTCATATTTCTATCCAAAAGGTCCCATTGAGGTCCTCAATTAGTGTTTAAGTGTTTTATTTGATACTAAGGGTCATAAATAAAGCTTTAAAACATGTTATAACACTGAAATATATAATCTACCATGAACACTACTCAACATGCTTCAAACCCAACTCTTAAGCTACAATGCATTTCTAATGACCCACATTTGATATGAAAGAGTTGTGAATATGTTACCTTGATTTCTTGGCTACTAAAAGTCCTCGAATCACCCAAGGAATAGTTTCTCTTTTCCTATTGTCCTTGAGCTTTCTCCCATTTCTTTCATTAATCAAAGGTAAGGAAAAAATTACTAACTTAACTAGGTGGTTGGATTAGAGACAATAACACTTCCTAGAACTTGAATCTATCAAAAGCAAACTAGAACCCATAAATTCTCTTAACCTCCCAAAAAAAACTATTTTTGGTTTCTAAGCTCAAAACTTGAGATATGGAGTTTAAAATGAAGCTTGAGGGATGGGGATTAATATTCTCACCTTGGTTTAACCAAACTAAACTTGAAAAATCCCTTTATTAGTGTGATGAGACATTAAATTTCTAAAGTAAGGTTAGGGATTTGAATATTGGCATTTACGTATGGAGCAAACCGGATTTGGAGGGTCGTCCCGTGATAGACTTTTGTAAAACCCGACATGAATTAGTTGATCAATATATCAAATATCACTAATTAATTCAAAAAAAAAAAAGTTGATTATTTAATATTATGTTGATAAACTAAAAAGAAAACGTATGAATAGCAAACATTTACCTACTCAGATTTGGGCGTTTGGAAGATGCAACAAGTTTAACTTCCAGTTCCAAGCTTGATATTGACTTGAAGGAAAAATAAATAACAATAAGATTAAACACTGATCAAAATAAGGCTAAATTATATATTTCGTATTTAAACTATTATTTTTATTCTATTTTGATACTCAAACTTTATTTTTTTCAAAAATCATACCTAATATTTAATTTATGTTCCATTTTGGTATCTCGTCGTTAAAAAATTAACATAACCACTAACATGATATTTTTTTTATTTCAACAATGACATGACATTACCTTAGGTGACACATCAGCATCACTGTTAAAATTTTAATCGCGAAGATACCAAAATAAAACATAAACTAAATGTTATGTATGGTTTTAAAAAATAAAACTTCGGTACCAAAATGTAACAAAAGTAGTAATTTAACTACTAAACATATAATCTACCGGTGGTCAAAGTCGTTCGTCTATTTCGGCCATGGCCTCATCAGTGGGGTTCCCTTCCATGAATTCATGTTTCAATCACATTACACGTTATTATTATTATTATTATTATTATTATTATTATTATTATTATTATTATTATTATTATTATTATTATTATTATTGTGAAATGACCATCCAGCTCAGTTGGTAGAGCACAAGGTTCTTAATCTTGAGGTCGTGGGATCGAGTCCCACGGAGGGCATTTCAAAATTCGGAGGACTCTTACGAAAGCTGCTCTCAACTTGGTGTTGGGGGTAGCCTACTATCTTACCTCCCCCTTACCCCATACATATGGGAAAAAGGGACAGCCATTATTATTATTATTATTATTATTATTATTATTATTATTATAAACATAGTTTATATTATGTATACATTGTCGCCTCTCAGTTGGAAGATCAAACAAGGCACCTTTGCTTGCCCTAATCCAATTTCCCATTCATAATTTGCCAACGAGTTTATCTTACACGATCAACCTAGGGTTTTTTAAGCTTTAGTCACAAGTTCATGGTTACATCACTTTGAATTACATGAATTTGATGCGAACCAAAAAATATCTAGAAATGAGATTGGGTTGAAAATAAAACTAAAATAAAGCTTTAATATAAAAATAAGCGTACAAATTATACTCGAAGTTAATTTTTGGTTTCTAAAGAATTTTTATTATAAATAGGCGTCTAACGTTTTCTCTTTTACATATTTAGGTGCCTACCATTACGTGTCAAGTTTAATTTTTTTTAAATATTTTAAATAACATTTTATTTTTAAAAAATATAAACGTGACACGTGTTACTTAACGGTTTTTTAATGGTAGACACCTAAAAA